GAACAGTAACGTGGAAGGAATACGTTTTGACCCGCTCATTATCCCCTGGCTTGTGTTCCCTCTCTCTGTCAAATGAATAAATAAAATCTTAAAAAAAAAATTAGTTCCATCTATCTTTTCTCTTCAAAATCTTTATTGAGGTATTATCTGATAAATGCACATGTCATTCCAGACTTAAAATTAAGCAGTTATGGAATGGATGGAGAACAGCATTTTATTCAAAATTATGTCCCCTGAAAATAATTAATTTCTACTTTATTGCAGCACTGTTGAGAGTTTTTACAGAATATAATCGTGTGTGTTGTGAGAGAGAGAGAAATGGAAGTATTCCAGGAACTCCGTAAACCGTCATCACGTTTGGAGTGTGACCACTGCAGTTTCCGAGGCACGGATTATGAAAACGTGCAAATCCACATGGGCACCATCCATCCAGAATTTTGTGATGAAATGGATGCTGGTGGGTTAGGTAAAATGATATTTTACCAGAAAAGTGCAAAGCTATTCCACTGCCATAAGTGCTTCTTCACCAGCAAGATGTATTCTAATGTGTACTATCACATCACATCCAAACATGCAGGCCCAGAGAAGTGGAATGAGAAACCAAAAAATCAGCTAAGCAAAGAAACAGATCCTGGGAAAAGCCCTCCTCTTTCTGATCACCAGAAAATACCCTCTAATTCAGCAGAACTCCCAAAACCCATACCTGCCCTTTCTGTAGAAACACAGAAACTTGGCCCAATTTTGTCTCCAGAATCACCAAAACCTACACCTCTCACTTCCCTGGAGCCTCAGAAGCCTGGCCCTGTTGTTTCTCCTGAGCCACAGACACCTTCTCTTCCTTCTCCTGAGCCTCCAAAATCTGCCTCTATTTCTTCTCCTGAACTTCCAAAACCAGTCCCTATTGTTTCTGAGTCTCAGAAACCAGTCCCTATTCCTTCTCCAGAACCACAGAAACTTGCCCCTATATCTCCTGAGCCAGTAAAGGCCACTCTTATTAATCCTAAACCCCAGAAACACTCCCATTTCCCAGAAACATTGGGGCCACCTTCAGGCTCATCTCCAGAGTCACCAGTTTTGGCGGCTTCCCCTGAACCTTGGGGTCCATCCCCAACTGCATCTCCAGAGTCTCGGAAACCAGCCCGGACTATCTCCCCTGAGCCAAGGAAACCATCCCCATCGGAGTCTCCTGAACCTTGGAAGCCATTCCCTGCTGCCTCCCCAGAGCCCAGAAGACCAGCCCCGGCTGTGTCACCAGGTTCTTGGAAGCCAGGGCCACCTGGGTCCCCAAGGTCTTGGAAATCCAGTCCTTCGGCGTCATCGGGACCTTGGAAGCCAGCTAAACCTGCTCCATCTGTGTCTCCTGGTCCTTGGAAGCCAATTCCTTCTATCTCACCTGGGCCATGGAAACCAACTTCCTCTGTGTCCCCCGCATCCTGGAAGTCATCGTCGGTCTCACCTGGTTCCTGGAAGTCTCCCCCTGCGTCTCCTGAGTCGTGGAAGTCTGGCCCACCAGAACTCCGAAAGACAACTCCCACCTTGTCTCCTGAACATTGGAAGACAGTTCCCTCAGTGTCCCCTGAGCTTCGTAAAGCAGGACCTCCCTTGTCTCCTGAGCTTCGCAAACCAGGCCCACCATTGTCCCCAGAGATCCGCAGTCCAGCGGGATCTCCAGAGCTCAGAAAACCTTCAGGGTCTCCAGAGCTTTGGAAGCTTTCTCCTGATCAGCGAAAAACTTCCCCTGCTTCACTTGATTTTCCCGAGTCCCAGAAAAGTTCCCGTGGTGGTTCCCCTGATCTCTGGAAGTCTTCCTTTTTTATTGAACCTCGGAAACCTTCTGGACCATCTGAGTCCCCTAAGGCAGCCTCCGATATCTGGAAGCCTGTTCTCTCTCTTGATACTGAACCTAGAAAACCTGCCCTGTTTTCAGAGCCCACCAAAACAGCCCCTCCAGCTTCTCCTGAACCACGAAAACGTGCTCTTTTTCCAGAGCCCCGGAAACATGCCCTTTTCCCTGAACTTCCCAAATCTGCTATCTTCTCAGAATCTCAGAAGGCAGTTGAGCTTGGTGATGAACTACAGACAGATGCCATAGATGATCAAAAGTGTGATATTTTGGTTCAGGAAGAACTACTAGCTACACCTAAGAAACTCTTAGAAGACACTTTATTTCCTTCCTCAAAGAAGCTCAAGAAAGACAACCAAGAGAACTCAGATGCTGAGCTTAGTAGCAGTGAGTATATAAAAGCAGATTTAGATGTGATAGACAGCAAGGGCCAAGAATCAAGCAGTGATCAAGAGCAGGTTGATGTAGAATCTATTGATTTTAGTAAAGAGAACAAAGTGGACATGACTAGTCCAGAGCAGTCCAAAAGTGTATTACAATTTACTGAAGAGAAAGAGGCTTTTATCTCTGAGGAAGAGATTGCAAAGTATATGAAGCGTGGAAAAGGAAAGTATTATTGCAAAATTTGTTGCTGTCGAGCTATGAAAAAAGGTGCGGTTTTGCATCATTTGGTTAATAAGCATAATGTTCATAGCCCTTACAAATGTACAATTTGTGGAAAGGCTTTTCTTTTGGAATCTCTCCTTAAAAATCATGTAGCAGCCCATGGGCAGAGTTTACTTAAGTGTCCACGTTGTAATTTTGAATCAAATTTCCCAAGAGGCTTTAAGAAACATTTAACTCACTGTCAAAGCCGGCATAATGAGGAAGCAAATAAAAAGCTAATGGAAGCTCTTGAACAGCCCCTGGAGGAGCAGCACATTTGATTTTTACACATGGTGTGGATATATGATCTACAAAGTTGTTTGTTGAAACTGTGTAAAGCATAGTTAAATAGTGTAGGTGGGTCAGTAGATGTTGATGTGTATGGTGTACTGTGTTGTCTCAGTAGTGTTACAAAGAATAAGCATTTGGTTCTTTTTTTCATGGTCTCCGTTTATGTGGCTATCTTGTAAGTCAATAAATTCGTGACTGTATTCCAGATGGGTAAAATTTCTGTGATTTCTTTTAAATATATTTGAATAATACGAAGATGTAGGTGGTCCACTTATCAAGAGCAAGTTGTACTCAATTTCAAACATCTAGTCAAAGTGTATCTTTTTTTGTGAAACTAACTTCAGACAATGGAAATTAATAGTTGGAATGTTTAAGAATTAGGCATGAAAAATTTGGGAAATTTTTTTCTCTTTCCTTAAATGTATTTTCAGATCATAAAAGGTATTTTGAAGTTCCTATTTGGTCATATAAAGTTAGTTTATTTATAAATCTTGAGCAGCTCTAGATGTTTATTAGCTTTTACGTCATGGAAAATTGGTCTCAGGGTTGCTGATTTTCTGCTAAATAGATGTTGAATAAGTTTTAAAAGGTTTGCAGCCTTCTCTAGGAAACTGGGAAAGATGAGTGTGACTTAGGTCTTGTCCTTAGTTGTTTCCTTCTGAGTCTTCCATTCTGCACCGCCTTCCCCACCCCACCCCACCCCCAGGTCTGTCTCTTCTCTTCCCTGTGAGCTCACACCAATAGATGATCCTTGACTGCCAAATGTGTCAGAACTGCACTTCCTACTCCTGGGCCTCACTCGCCACCTAGGGGTTTCAGACCTGGTAATGAGTAGGAACTGAGAGTCTTCCAGATTCACGGTAGAAAATTTTGTAAGTAGACATCTCTGTTGGAGAGTACGTCAATTGTATGTTTTCCACAGTTGTTACTGTAAATACCTTGTGCCTGTTCGTGGATTATTTTGTTCTAAAATATTTTGTCAAATGTGTATCAACCAAATTAAAAACAAAGGCTTTCATGTCAGTAGCATCCTCGTGTGTGTTTTCTTTTGTGTAATTTTCATTGTATGATACCCAGGTACCATGATTTTTTTCCTGTTCCCCCTGTTCTCAGCATGCTAATTTTCCCATTTTCCCAGCATTTTCTAAGCTGTGTTTTCTCAGTTCTGTGGTCAGGTAAGTGAGGGAAATGTTACACTCAACAGTGCTCCTTGTGGAAGATCCACATCCTGGCTGACTTGTGTAAAAACAGTGTAAAGCATTTAGTGACATAAGGATTCTCCTGTGCAGCCAAGGGTTGAGAGACTATCTTTTTTTTTTTTAAGATTTTATTTATTTATTTGACAAGAGACACCGAGAGAGGGAACACAAGCAGGGAGTGGGAGAGGGAGAAGCAGGCTTCTCGCTGAGCAGGGAGCCCGATGTGGGGCTTGATCCCAGGACCCTGGGATTATGACCTGAGCTGAAGGCAGACGCTTAACTGACTGAGCCACCCAGGAGCCCGAGAGACTATCTTTAATTAAGCTGTTCCCAGACATTTTTGAGCAGCGAGCACTTTTTTTTTATCATAGCGTCTAAATTAATATGCCAATTGAGAAGACTTCGTGTTTATAGAATCCTGGGAAGCTCTTAGTGTTTATAGCATTCCGGGAGGATCTTACAGGCTCCAGGTCTCACCTCTTTGGTGAGTAGTTGATGCTGTTGTCCATTTACACTGGGCCCCTTGAGAACAAGCTTGCAGTACTGGAGTTGCCTTCTAGGTATCTAAGGATACCTTAGATAAGACAGTGGTCTTGTTCTCATCTATACTGACTCAATTAAAATTATGACTGGAAAAGACAAAGGTGTGCAGCACCCAGAAACCCTTTTGAAGCCCCCAGTCTCAAACCAACTGTTTTGTGTAACAGATTTTTTCCTTAGGACTTTACACTTCTGGTGCAAACTTCTCACAGAATCCTTCCTAGACCTTTGCTCAAGGTGGAGCCAACTAGTTCCCATGACTTGCCATCTTATGTGGGTTTTTTCATAATACAGGATATTATGCTAAAGTAGGAGATGCACGAATACTTTTGGCCTTTGGTTAAGCCACTGTGTTCTTGGTTCACCTCACTTACGGCTTTCCACTTTTTTCTCATTTTACTTCAGGATCAGGATAACCTAATACCCCCCTTTTTTTTAACCTTGGCAATTTTGCCTCCTATACAGTAGCATCCCTCTAGTCAATGTGACCCTGTCTACATTTTCATTTTCTCATTTATCTATGTAATTGCAACTACTTTAAATGAACTCAGTGCAATGATTTTTATATAATATGAAAAATTACTGTACCATCTTTCACTCAACATTCATGGACCTGACACTAATATATTTATTTTAGGTGACCTATTGACTTTTCATTAATTGGACTCTTCAGTACCTGAACTGGGATGTGTCTGTAGCAGATACTGCTTTTGTTTTTTAAGACTTTAAAAATTTTTAAGTAATGTCTGCTCCCAAGGTGGGGCTTGAATCCACATCTCTAAGATCTAGAGTCTCATGCTTTGCCAGTTGGGCCAACCAGGCACCACCCTCCTTTTGTTTTTAATATTGGTGTGGATTCTACAGCTTTGTCTTAGATGAGAACAGAAGGATGCTTACCAAGTAAGATCTGCAAACAACCCAAAATGAAGGGCATCTTTTAAGCTGCGTTACATTCCTAGACCTTAAACACCCTGAAATTATCCCCTTTTCTCAGTCTAGCTGCTTCTGTCGAGTAATTTTGAGTATGCAGTGTTAGTTTCCTATTGCTGCCATAACAACATGAAATTCAGTTGCTTACAACAACACAAATTTGTTTCCTTACATTTCTGTAGTTCACTGGGCTAAAGTCACGGTGTCAGCAGGGCTGCCTTCTTTCTGGGAGGCACTAGAAGAGCGTCCGTTCCCTTCCCTTTACATTTTCTATTGGCTCCTGCTTCCCTCTTCCATGTAAAGACCCTTGTGTTTACATTAGGCGACCCAGATAATCTAAGCTGATCTCCCAATTTTAAAGTCAGCTGATTAGAAGCCCTAAATCTCCTTTGCCATACAAACTGCCATAGTCGTAGGGCCTGGGATCTTTTGGGGCCACTCTGCCTACCAGACCTGGGCTTGAAATTTGGGGTTTTGATTTCTCTGCTTGGCCTATTGCAAGGTAGCTTTCTTCAGCAGTGTGGTTACCTCCTCACTGGTCTAGGCCCTCGTCACTGTGTATGTCTGTTAGTACAGTAAACTGCCTGTAGTGTCGGGACTGTGTCAACCCCCACTCACCCTTTACACACTGAAATCAGGTCTCCACAAGACTGATTTTATGTTGCATATTTAAGGTCTTCCATTGGCAAACCATACCTTACTCAAGCAACCTTCCAACCCCACTCTGCTCATTGTTTTTTCTTCCCCAAGAAAATGCTCCATTTCCTATTAAAACTGCTACCCTGGGGCGCCTGGGTGACTCAGCTGGTGAAGCATCTGCCTTCGGCTCAGGTCATGATCTCAGGGTCCTGGTACCGAGCCCCAAGTCCGGCTCCCTGCTCAGTGGTGAGCCTGCTTCTCCCTCTCCTTCTGCCTGCCGTTACCCCCTGCTAGTGCCCTCTCTCCCTCTCTCATAAATCTTTAAAAAAAAAAAAATTAAAAAAAACTGCTACTCTCACTGAGCCTGGCACAGTTCTCTCCACTTTCCAGGGCTACTCTTGCCAAACTGCTTTTTATTTTATGAATTGGAGAAAGAAGAGACAAACCCTCTAAGACTGAATTGGGCCTCATTTAGTGTTGACTCAGTGCAGGAGTGCTACATTTTCATTACAAGTTCTCCAGACTAAAACTGAACAAACTGTTGGAATAAAAAAAGATGATTTAACACTTTTGATCCTGACCAATTAGTGGCTTAGCTGGTTTGAGCGTAATGTTAACTTTTTGCTTCTATCACTAGCTGATCTCTTGCAAGTGCTTGCCATGGGCCAACAAGAGGACTAGATGAAATGCATGGAAGCCTCATAAATTCTTGATTTGTATAAATGGAAGAGTTAGTTCTAAGGTCAAGTGAACAAAAATTTTATTTGAATCAAAAACAGAGAACCCTGGCCCCTCAGTCAGTTCCCAGACTTGAGCCAGTTTATAAACCCAGAACTCCTTGGATGCAGGGGAGGCATGGTCCCCTTGAGTGAGAACCCAAGTACACTGCCAAGAAATTTATAGTTAGCCTTTCTCCCAACCTTCACCCAAGGGACTGATGGCCTTGGAGCAGCGCAACTGTGTGCTGGAGAGGAAACAGACCGTCAGGACTACCTGGACATGGACTGGATTGACACTGATCCCAGGAGATCCCAAGCCTCACTGTGGCCCCTCCCGTCCAAGCCGGGTTCATGCAGGTCAGGTGCCTGGGGTGTTAGGTCTGTCTCACAGCTGGTTCTGTGGGCCCCCAAACCATCCTGTGGCTATTGCCCCAGCTCAGGAAGTATCTAATTACAGTAGCTATTCTCCGGAACTGTCAGTATCCCTGCACGGGTTCCCTGACCTGTGGGGTGAGAGCTCTTACAGTGGAAGAGATCGGCTGAAAGCCACTAGTAAATCCAAGGCAGTCGAGCAGTGAGGATTCTGGGAAGACGGTGGAGCAGAAAGCACCAGAAATCTGTCCCCCAGGGAGGCCACAATTGCACTGGCAGAACCTGTCTGATGTAACTATTTGGAACTCAAGTCTGTTGAAGGCTTGCAGCTTGCCCGGGAAAGCTTGGACAGTAAATTTTAGCTCTTCACAGTGGCAGCTACCCACCCCCCACCCCCACCATGGGAGCATCTTGCACACAACTTACAGGAGCTAGGATGGGTAAAAAGGACCCTGTCTTCCCAATATTGGGGATCTGTGCTTTGATTGCTGATTGCTAGTTTTGATCACAGGTGCAGGCAAAGAGGCAGGCAGTCATCTGGTTGCATCTCCTCCTCTGCTGCAATCGCTTCGCCCTCCAGCTGAAGTGACT